GCCGGCCCCGCCCCTGGGCCCCTTCCCGACGGCGACGGCAGCGGCACCGGGAGCGAGTGCGCTTGCGGCGCCGACGGCACCGGCACCAGTGCAGGGTCCGGTGCCGCAGACGGCCCCCTGGGCGGTGCAGGGCCCCACACCGTACTATGCGCCACCTGCGGTGCCACAGCAGGCGCCCCGCACGGCACCGATGCTGATGCCTCTCCCAGCACCGATCCCTGCTTACACCTTGGGAGCGCAGCAACAGGGCGCGGCGCCGCTGCACACGACGGCACCGGAGGGTTATGTACCAGCCTATCAGGTGCAGCTGGGCACTGTACCGCCGCAGCAAAGGCCTCCACTCATGCCCCCACCGGCACCGCGTGCGGTGCACAGGGGCAAGCCATCGGCCATGGCAGGCCAGCGCATCAGAGTACTCTTTGGAGTCGGAGGCCGAGTCGGTGGCATCGGCCAGGTCTTCATATAGGTCACGGCCCCGTCATAGGTCCCGCTCGTCGGTCAGATCATCTCACCGGGAGCCGGTGGACCAGCAGCAGTGGCAGGGGCAACCCCAGTGGGCTTTCTGGATGCCCTGGACATACCACCAGGCCCAGGGGCCTCCCCCTACGGGGCCGGCAGCGGGGTTGTCCCGAAGGAGTAGCACCCCGTCTGCCACCCCCTTGACAGCCCCCCCACCTGGAGGCAGCTCATCTATGGTGGCGATGCCGAGACCCCCGGTTGTTGGTCAGGGGCAGGGGGCTATGCCCCAGTCGGGCGCAACCTATATGGACATCTCTTCCCAGGGGGAACCAGGGGTACAGATAGCTGAGGAAGAGGCAATCCCCTAAAGGGAGTTCTCGTCGTCTTCACCAGACGAGGCCCTGGCCGACCCCGCGCCCCAGCCCCCGTCTATGGACTCCAGGGTGCACCAGGAGCTGCTCCGAAGGTTGGCGGTCGATCTTGTGGTCCAGCATGAGGAGGTTCACGAGGACTTAGATCCTATGGTGGACATCATAGCGGCAGCGGGCCCTGGTCGAGTGGCGCTCCCACTGAATAAAACGGTGGACAAGCTGTCTAAAACTCTGTGGCAGACGCTGGCTTCTATTGCACCGACCCAGAAGGGGGTCGAGAGAAGGTGCTCGACCCCAGGAGGGGCACGAGCATCTTTTTACCCACCCGGCTCCGGGATCCATAGTGGTTCAGGCCGCTGGGCAGAAGGAGCACCAAGGGCCTCCAGGTCCTACTCCGAAGGCGAAGGAGCCTAGGAGATTGGACCTACTTGGCCGGGGGCCTCCCTGCATATAGCTAACCAGCAACTGATGCTGGGGCGTTATGCTTTTAACACATGGGCGTCTATGCAGAAATTTGCCAGCCAGCTTCCTCCCGAATCCCGCCAGGAATTCGGGGCCCTGATGGAAGAGGGCCAAGCAGTGGCGCGTACCTCTCTCCAGGCGGCTTTGGATGCAGCTGATTCGGCAGCCCGCACTATGGCCACAGGGGTTGTTATGAGGCGTAGTGCCTGGCTGCAGGTGTCTGGCATCCCACCCGAGGTGCAGACCACCATTCAGGACCTGCCCTTTGAGGGGCCGGCCTTGTTTTCAGAGCAGACTGATTCCAAGCTGCATAGCTTGAAGGACTCAAGAGCGACCCTGAAGTCGCTA